AACCAAACTGAAGAAAACGTGGCAATGAATCATTTGGGTTACATTGTGTCGCTGTGGTCAAGTGCCATCGAGTCAGCTCCCACTCACAGCGGCCCCTGTGCTCAGCCGAAGGAAACACCGCCCTGCTGCAACCTCACTCTGGTGTCCGTCCGTCTGTTGTTCCTGCCGCTGCGGGCTTGCAATCACTCCAGTCAGCTCCCGACTGGAGCCTGGAGCTCCCTCGTCAACTGGCAAAGTGAGCAGAAAGGCTTCCCTGCTGCAGGTGAGATGGGAGCTATGCTTCCTGGCCACACACAGGAGGACTGGGCATTCAGCTCCGGACTGTTCAGTATTAGCATAGGGGTGTGCAGAAGGCATGTTGCTTAAATTCGAAATGTATGTAGGTAAACAGTGTTGGAATATTGAAGAGGATGGCAGGTTCATCACATTTCAAATTCCATTCATTCAATGCAGAATCCTTGGGAAGGCTTGGTTTTCACACCAGTGACATGTTTAAGAAGGAAAATGAGCATACAAAACTGATTTTAAAAAAACACAGTTAGAAAAATTGGAATACTTTTCCTTAACTACATTTGCAACTCAGACCAGACGCAAGTCAAAGCCCATTAAGAGTGATTACAATGCAGCCAACAAGGTCGAAACAAAATAAGGAAGATCATTCTCTGTATGGTAACATCAAGAACAAAATACTCAGAAAGAAAATTAACCCAAGCAGTGTAAGATTTGTATACCAAGAACTACAAAACAGTCTTGAAAGATATTTTTTTAAATGTGAATAAATAAAAAGGCATCCCATGTTTATGCATCAGATTCAATATTACTATAAAGATGTGAATACTCCACCCATTGACCTATATAGTACATGCAATCCCCCTCAAAATCCCAGGAGATTTCTTTCTAGAGATCAGTAACACCCCAAACTAAACCTACTGCCATGCGTCAATCCCCGCCCCTAGCCTCCCTGTAGGACAGAGGACAACCACCCCATAGGCTTCCCGAGGCTGTAAAGCCTCACAGAGCGGACTGCCGTATCTTTCTCCCCATGGAGTGCCTGCTGGGGGGTGGGGGGGATGGGTTTCAAACCTCGGACCTTTGGGTTAGCAGCCAAGAGCTTAAGCACCACACCACCAGGGTTCTTAAAGATGATAAGCTGGCCCTACAGTCCGTTTGGAAAGGCAAGGGACCTAGAATAACCAAAACGTGCTTGATAAGACCCAAGCTGGGCGGCTTACACACCCTAATGTCAAAACTTACTTTAAAGCCACCATAATCAAGACAATGAGTCCTGATGAAAAGATAGTGTTGAACATCCAGAAATAAATATATTTACAATCAATTGATTGCTGACCAGGGAGGCAAGACCATTCAATGGAAAAAGAAATCGTATTTTCAATGTATGGTGCTAGGGCAATTGTACATCCAGATGTGGGGGGGGAGAATGTAACTGCCAACCTTCTGGCTATCGGCCGACTGACTGCTTAGCCGCTGTGCCACCAGAGCTCTGTAAAAGATACACACAATCCCTACTAATTCCTTCTTTCTTACAACTGCACATGAATCGACAATTGTCTCTAAATAAAAACATGTTTTTATTGAAGTGGTATGGAGCAGGAAGCAGGAGGGCCAGGCTCTATCCACAGCTGATCCATCAAGTCACTGTGAAGTCGCTGGCAACTGCCTTCTCCACTTGTTTCCATTTATTCCCCCCTTGTTTCCTTATCCGGAAGCTAGTGGTTTAAACATTCAGGGTGGACAGGTTGGAGTCAGTGGCTGTGGTGCTGGTGTGGCCTGAGGCCACGGGTAAGAGGCTCCTGGGGGGTACAGAGTGAAGCAGAATGGACAGGCAGGCATGCTCTAGCCTTAGGGGACTTCTAGTGTCAGGTACAGCACAGGATGATAGGTCCTAGAGACAAGGAGTCCTGGCTGCAGAGGGTCATCTGCCGGTGCAGGCCCTGGGGCCAAGCAGGCCTTAGATCTGATGAGGGCTCAATGCCAACGTAGTTCTCCAAA